GTGCCTGGTGCAGGGCTGGGGACGCCATCCTGGGGCTGGCCTGCCTGGCTGCGCTGGCAGGGCTCCAGGCGATGAAGAGCCGCCTGCCCCGAGCTGCCCATGCGGAGCCGCTGGCTGCCAGGGTCAGCTACCTGATCGTCTGGACCTCCGCCACGGGTGCGTTGGCCATCCCCTGCCCTCTCCCCTCCCGCGGCCGTCCCTCCTGGGGTCTCGGCTCTTCTGGGCAAGGAAGAGACAGCCCGAAACTGGTAAAGCCCAGGTCGGCAGGAGCTGAGACCTGGAGGTGGATCGGGGAGGACTAAGTCCCAGGGATGGTCCTGCTGCTGTGCATGCCCCTTCCTAAGGCTTGGAATACCTTGGCAGCCTGGGTACCCACCTCCTGCTGTCCCTCCTGCTGCCCTGGGCTCCGGGCGGGTTTTCACGGTTGCTTTCTCTGCTGCAGCACGCAACGCCCTCGTGGTCCTGTTTGCTGGCCTGGTTGCTTACTCCTTCCAGGTGATGGGCTCCCAGCCGCTCACACTCACCGGCAGCATCCCCCAGGGCCTCCCTGCCTTCCGCCTGCCACGCTTCTCCATGGCTGCACCCAATGGCACCATCCCCTTCAGGAGCATCGTGGAGGTGGGTGCCAGGCTGGCCGGTGGAGGCTGGGCTCCCCACGGGCTGCTGTCTCCTTACTCCTGCGTTTGCTGGTTCCCCGTGCAGCGGGAGGAGGCTCTGCTGCAGGGCGACCCTCATCCCTCGGTGGCAACACTCACAGTGTCCTTCCCTCCCAGGACATGGGGGTCGGGCTGGCCGTGGTCCCGCTCATGGGCCTGCTGGAGACGGTTGCGATTGCCAAGGCGTTTGGTACGGCTGCACCAGGCTCCTCCACCTGCGCTCTCAGGAGGGGTCTCTGCGGGGGGCTTGGGGTGCTGGGGATGTTGCTGTTCCCATGCGGGCAGTGGGAGGGACTGGGCTGCCCATGCCGAGCCCAGTTCATAGTGCGGGCTGGCAGGAGAGGTCCCGCGGGGTGCTGCTGGCCCCCTCCCCTGGCCAGGCAGCTGCCCCATGCCTGGCTGGGGAGCGGGCTGGGGGGTCCTGCATTGTGCATGGCTGGAGTTTGCACAGGAGCTGAGCGTTGTCTTGGGCTACTCGGGGGGTGCCAGGACAGGGGGGTGCTGGGACGGGGTCCGACGGCTGTCGCAGGCACTGCCGGCCCCGCTCCGCACGCACGGCAGGTCGTGCCTGCGGGAAGCTCTGGGTGATGCCGTTCGTCTCCTTTCAGCCTCGCAGAACGATTACAGGATTGACCCCAACCAGGAGCTGCTGGCTATGGGTAAGAGGCCGCTCGGAGCAGGAGGGCAGGGGCTGGGGATCTGGCTCGAGCACTGCCATGTGTCCTTGTGTGAGCCAGCCAGGCAGGACACAGGAACAACCATAAAACCATGGATGAAATGCAAATAGTAAATTTATTTTCATTACCCCACCAACCAAGGGATTCCTGAAGCAGGACCCAGGCAGAGGCACACAAGTGGGAATGCAGGCACCACGGAGCTTGGTCCATGCTGGAGGATCACCAAACCTGCTGTTTTCACCTGCTTATCAGGGATTCGCGCAGGCGTAGTTTACCACTGTGCTTTGATCTTTCCCGTAGCAGGGCAGGAATCTCGAGCATGTTCAATAGGGTACCTCTAAGTCTATCGCAGGCCTGTGTCATCTAAACAGATGTTCTACTTGTCCAACACACGAGGCCAAACACCAATTAGTATGATATATGTGTTTTTCGATACCCCAGTTGCAAGTCACTTGAGCGTGTTTACGATCCTCCTCGCCAGTCTTCCATTATTTTCCCACAGTCCCACAGCCCCTGAGCTACCAGAGATCCCCATCTCAGCAGTCCTACCTCTTCCTGAAGTTTTACCTTTCTCATCTTGCATGGTGGCCCCCCCAGCCTTTCTCACAGCTTAGCAATTTCCAGAGCAGCCTGAGCCCAGCACACGCGGCTGGACAGGCTCCGATCTGGCCCTGGGTACCAGCCTGGGGATGGAGAAGGTGACAACAGGGGCACAGACCAGTCTGGTGGCCCCAGGCAGTGCCTGCCATAGCTGCTGCATCCCCAGCCCCTCTCCTTCCCCACTGCAGGCTTCGCCAACATCCTGGGCTCCTTCGTCTCATCGTATCCCATCACGGGCAGCTTTGGCCGGTGGGTAGCAGGAAGGGGAGCGGACCCCCAGCCTGCGGGACACTCACTGGGGCTGTGTGGTGAGGGGGCTGTGCGAGATCTTGGGCAGAAGGTTGTGCAGATCCCAGTGGGTCCCTGAGCTCGTGTCCTGCTCCCCACTGCCCACCTTGGCTGCCGGGCCATGCGTGGGTCCCGCGGCGACCTTCCCTCCCATCTTGCGTGCTCTGTCGTCCTGCTGCAAGCTGGGAGCCACGGGCTTGCTCCTGTTTTTCCCTGGGTCTGATGGGGTGGGTGCTTTTCCTGAGTGGGTCTCTGGGCAGGGGGTGGGGGCAGCTGCTGGCCCCGGCCAGCCCCAGCGCAGCCTGGGACAGCGCGTTGCTTTGCATTTCAGGACAGCAGTGAATGCGCAATCGGGCGTCTGCACTCCCGCAGGAGGGCTTGTCACAGGTAGAGCCCCTAACCCCGCCATGGGCTGCTCTGCGGGCCCCCGTGCCCAGCACCCACTCCTCTCGGGCACCCTGGACATTGAGGACCCCATGGCTCAGGTGCTCCCCATCTCCCGCAGGCGCCCTGGTCCTGCTCTCGCTGGCGTACCTCACCTCGCTCTTCTACTACATCCCCAAAGCGGCGCTGGCTGCTGTCATCATCTCGGCTGTGGTCCCCATGTTTGACGCTGGGATCTTCAGGACTCTCTGGCGGGTTAAGAGTGAGGGCACGAGCTGGGGGCAGTCAATCCCCCGACGCAGCCCGGCTCTGCCGGCAGAGCAGGCATTGTCCCGGAGGGCCCTGTGGTACAAGGACAAAGCACAGCCGAGCCTGAGTCATTTATCTTGCAGGGCTGGACCTTGTGCCCCTCTGCGTGACGTTCCTGCTCTGCTTCTGGGAGGTCCAGTACGGCATCGTGGCTGGGGTGCTGGTCTCAGGGATTCTCCTCCTCTACTCCATCGCCAGGCCCCCAATAAAGGTGGGTTTCACGCTTTGCCCTGGATGCGGCGGGGCCAGCTGGGCTCGCCCAGGAGTGGGGAGCTGGGAGAGGGCTCCCCGAGGACAGCAGGGCGTTGGGGTGCAGGATGACATGCTCTCGCCCTGTCCTGTGTCCCCAGCCTGCCATCGGCTCCCCTTTCAAGGAGCATGAGAAAAGGGTATCCCAGGAGCTGAGAGCAGGAGAGGGAGGCATCGCTCTCCCTGTTCC